AGGCAAAAAAAAAAAAAAAAAAAAAAAAAAAAAAAAAAAAAGTGAATACCATAAATGAGCATTGTTACCGATGCACTGTCCTGTCAGATTAGTGTTATTGAAATACATCCTAGTTTAGGAAGAATTCATATAATTAATCCTAATATGCCACAGTATGTCTTTCTGTTAATTTGAAAATCAAGTTTTGAAGCTAACAGCTGTAGGAGATATCCATGGAGATATCTAGCAGGGAACTTGAAGGGGGAAAGGAAAATCATCACTCAGGCAAAGGCCCCATCTCAGCCTTTGATCTGTCACACTGATCTCAAGAGAAAACTGGGTTGTAATGGAGGAGGCAGGGGAGTGGAGAGGATAGAACAAGAAGAAAGGCACTAGGAAAACTCCCAGAGTGATGATTCTGGAGGTTCCTTGCAGCTTTCACTAGAAACACACATGAAGGAACTTAAATTCCTTTAGCCATTCTTATACTGAGTAGCCCAGTGCTTCTGACCAACGACTGTCCCATTTCACTGTAGCCTGAATTCACAGGGCTAACAAGAAATCCCCCACCAATAAAATCGAATGCCCAACTTTGGCGATGAGGAAGCAGTCAAGGGATTTTTAATTTTTTTTCTCCCTCCAAGAAAATTCCTCTTTACATGCCAGCCATTTATAAGAATTTCAGAGTGAACATGATCACTTATCATTCATCTTCCTTCATATGGGAAACTGATGCTTGTTCTGCAATTCTTGGCGTAACCAATCAAGTTCAATATTCAAACGGGAACATTTTTTTAAAGTTCTTCAATTCCAGGGAAACAGAAATAAAGGGTAATTTTTCCCATAGCGATATTTTTTTGTGAGACAGTATAAATTCAGTCTTCGAGAGAGAGAAATATGGCATTTTCCTCCCTGTGCCAATGCTCTGACTGACGACAGTATTGTTTCGTTGAAACTGCTAGAATTTACAACCTACATACATGTATATCACTTGCATTTACAAACCTTTATTTAAGCCTATTATTTAAATCACTGAGGTTGTAGTCTTGCAATGAGCTTAAAACCACCAAAATCAAAGCGCTTGTGCAATCTTTAGTTAACTTCCTTGCGCAATCCACAGTATGATGAAGTCTTCAAATGCACCCCTACACACTGTTTTTCCACAGGATGTTTGCATCATTCTGTGCACAAAACTGTCAGTGCTCACCAGTGAGCGGCTATCTACATACATTTTTTTTTCCTTTTAGCTCCATATATCACCTCATGTCTATTTACTAAATCAAACCCTGTTCACAGACATTCATTTCCTCAGAATGACCACCACCGCTGCTCCAGAGCGTTTCACACGTACCAATAGACTGATTTTCACAATTCATTGCAAGTGAGAAGACAGTGCCCTTACATTAGAGAGTGGAAACTCGGAACAAAGGAATTAAGCTCAAAAAGTTTTGCTAAAATGCCTCATTTAAACCGATTTTTTGGAAAGACTTAAAGCCCACTGTGTTTTGTAAGAGCTACCCACATCAAATTCAGTGGAATCTGTAGGTACTTAGCATTTCTGCTAGGCATAACACTCTTCTCAAATCAGGTACCTGGAAAACAGGGAACTCAATTAACAATCATCTTCAAGAAGCAGTTTGCATGAACTGAGTAGCATCACTTAAAACAGCTCAAACATTTAATCTTGAACACATACAGTTCAGTGAATTACAGGCAAAACCAGAAATTAGACCTTACAGGAAAGAAAGAAAATATTACATGCTGGTTTTCAGTAATGTTTTAAAAGAAATCTTTTTGTCCCACTTTTTCTGTAGACACACCTTTCAAACAGCCTTTGTTGAAACAAAGTCAAAACGCTGGGTTTAAGAAAGCACTGCTCAAGGAAAGTTTACCTGAAGCCAGAAAATGCTAGAGATAAGACATTAGAATGACATTAAAACCCCTGAAAGGATACAGAAAAGATGCCTGGTCATGCTTGTTCATATTAACCAAAATACAACCCCCAGTAATTACTAGCTACATAAAAAACCAAGCCTGTGTCCATGCTATTTCCAGAGTCACTAAAGTTACTGGACAACTTTAATCAGAAATGTAGGACACCTCCCATCTTTGCACAGGTTTGCAGCTAACTGATGGTTTACAGCAAACAACAGCTGATTAGATTCCAATTAGACAAGGAAAAAAGTCCTTCTCATAGTATGAATACTGAGACTCTAAATAGATTACTTATGGAGACCCTTGAATCTCTACCACCGAAAGCTTTAGGAACAGGCTGGACAAATTTGTCACTAAGGACTGTAATTGATTTTGCCACGGAACAAAGCGATGGATTAAGTGACTTCTTGGAGTTTCTTCTGATCTTAAATTTTCATTACGTTTCGCTTAGTTAGGGAACTTGAAAGCTATAAATAAACAGCTATATAAAAAGCTATATAAAACGGGTAAGCTGTTAATATCTTCATTTATTTAATTCTGACTTTAGTGTGCAAGGACGAGGTGTCATGAACTTCTGCGTCGGTTCAGATCATAGGTCCCTCTCCCACATTAACCATGGGAGTGGGCACTCAGGAAAAATCAGAACAGAGTAAGCACATACTGCCTCCCAACCTTCAAACATTTTCAGGTCAGGTTATGTGATTTATCTAGTTAGTGGACTCTACAGCATCTCTTCCAAGTTTTTTTCCAGTCTCTCCTTGTGCTTTATAAACTCATTGATCCAGAAAGTCATTTGAGGAGCATGACCACAGGTCCTTACAGACTGTCTGAAGACTGGCTCCTCTGGTTTGTTCTGAATGAAGGTCTTACTAACTTCTTCCTATACCCTTTTCTCCAGACCTCTCAGTTCTGCAGACCTTTTCTTACCTTCCCACTATGTTGTGTATTTTTCCAAATAAGATTCGTGGATATTCCATGGATGGAGGACCTTGCATGTTGTAGTGGAAGTCACAGTATACCTCTGATCATCCTTGTTATCTCTGAATAATTTCATTTCTGGTATATCCTGTCCTAGATGAATGAACCAGAACCCTGGATTTTTACAGTAGCATATGGCCTTGAACAGTAAGTGTAATGATCCTGTTTGTTTTTTTCCTATTTGCCTCTTAATCATTCCTAGCTTTTTTTTTTTCCTTGAACTAAGTGGTGTTTTCATGGAACTGTCTAACAGAAGACAAAGGTTGTACCTGAAGATCTTTGAGCCAGCTTAGAAATGATCCAAGATGTGAAAATAGGAATATTCTTCCCCAAATATACCATTCTACAATTATCTACTCTGATAATTACCTGTTGGTTTTTTGTACAGTCAATCTTTCTGCAAGCTATGCAGTCTCCCTCATCCTTACTACCTTGCAAAACCTAGCAAAGCTTTGTCACCTCACTGATAACTTCCCTTCCCCAGGTCATTTAAGAATATAATGAATAGTACAGGTCCAAATTCCATATGGAATTTTGCTTGTGTTCTCCCTCCTATCAAGGACCGATCACTTTCTTCCATCCAAGGATGGTTTACGTCATCTTTGAAATCACATTCTCATCCACTTCAGTGCCTTCCTTCTTATGGCAGCATAAGACATTCTTGTGTTGCTTGGTTTTCCTAAAACACTTTAAAAGTTCTGCCAGAAATCTGAAAATCCCAGCTGACTATATCAGATGATCCTCATTTATAAATCACTGACTCCTTTGAAGAACTCTGAGAGCTTTATTAACTTTCACTGATTAGATAATATTTACTGAGGTAGATGATAGTAATTCTTACAATATCTAGCCATTCACCTTGAACAGATCTCAGTTTTAAGTTGCTGGATATCCTTGGAATTTTCTTAATGACTGACATCACGTTTGACACCTTCTGATCTTCATGTGCTGAGGAATAGTGAAGAGACAGGTTACGTGCTGCTATTTCATCCCTGAGTTCTCTTAGAATTCATGGGTAAATCCTTCAGATCCTGGAGACTCACCTGCATTCATCTGCCTTTTGTACCACTACCCCTTCCAGATATTTCAGAGACGTTCTCTGCCAAGTTCCTTGAATACCCAAAAAGGGCTGGGGAAAGACAATTTCCCTGATTTCTTCTGTACTGGATTTGCATGGAAAGGTTTTGGTAGAAGGGTAGGAGGCTACAGGGGTGCCTTCTGTGGGAAGTTGCCAGAAGCTTCCCCTGTGTCCGAAGGAGCCAGTGCCCACCTGGACCCACTAGTGGCCAAGGCCGAGCCCATCAGCAAAGGGGGTCATGTATCTAAGAAGGGGAAACAAAAACCCCTGCACAATTGCAGACAAAGAGAGGAGTGAAAATATGCGAGAGGAACAACTCTGCAGACACCAAGGTCAGTGCAGAAGGAGGAAGAGGAGGAGGTGCTCCAGGTGCCAGAGCAGAGATTCCCCAGCAACCTGTGGTGAGGCAGCTGTGCCTCTGCATCCGATGGAGCTCCATATGGGAGCAGAAATCCACCTGCAGACTGTGGAGGAGCCCACACCAGAGCAGGTGGGTGACTGAAGGATGCTGTGACACCATGAGAAGCTCATACTGGAGCAGGCTCCTGTGACCCCAGGGAGAGGGGAGCTCTCGCTGGAGCAGGTTTGCTGGCAGGACTTGTGACCCTGTGGCAGCCTGTTCCTGAAGGACTGCACCCTGTGGAAAGGGACCCACTCTGGAGCAGTTCATGAAGAACTGCAACTGAAGGACTAACACTGGAGAAGTTCATGGAGAACTGTCTCCCATGGAAGGGACCCCATGATAAGCAGGAGAAGACTGTGTGTGAGTAGTCCTACTCCTGAGGAGGAAACAGCAGCAGAGACATATGACAAACTGACCACAACCCTATTCTCATTCTCCTGTGCTGCTGGAGCAGGAAGGTGGTAGAGAATTCACAAGCTAAATTAAGCCCAGGAAGAAGGGAGTGGTGGGGAGTAGGTGTTTATAAGATTTAGTTTTTATTTCTCATTACCCTACTCTGATTTCATCGACAATAACTCAAATTAATTTCTCCCCAAGTCAAGTCTGTTTTGCCCATGATGGTAATTGGCTTGTAATCTCTCCCTGTCCTTATCCCAGCTCATGAGCCTTTCCTTATATTTTCTCTTCCCTGTTCAGATGAGGTGGGGCATAATAGAGCAGCTTTGATGAGCACCTAGTGTTCAGCCAGGGTCATGGAATCCCATCTTCCACAGTGAACAAAAAGTGCAAATGGTTCGACTTCTCTCCCTGACTTTGTCCTCCCTGAAGGTTCATTTTATACCTTTGTCATATTCAGACTCAGTGACAATTTTTTTCCCCTCCTAATGTGTTGGAAGAAGAATACTGAATAATTTCCAACTCTTGCTAGTTAGGTCTCAGACTTATTACAATTACAATAGTAATTGCATTTACTTTTAATTATATTAACATCTGTCAATGTTTATGATACTTTTGATTTATTTTTTTTTCATTTGGATGTGTCTTTAGCTTTTGGAGAAACACCTTCTTCTTTATTTCTCTTTGCTGTTTGGCCATGACCGCTTAGTCCTGTTTTCTCAGGCGTGTTCAGTAAATCATGTCCATTGGCACTCTGCTTCCTATTTGGTGTCCTGGGTGCCATTCTTTGTCTATTCTTGGTAGACTTTCTCATCTTTACGAAGTTCCTCATGTTGAAATGAACACAGCAGTGGGTTTCATTTTGACCTCTACTGCTCCCCAAAGATATGGAATCCAAGGGTGTTGTGTCATTCTTAAAGAGCAGTCTTAACGTTCAGCAAGACATACATGCCTATATGGATATACATGCATATGTATGTGTGTATGTATAAATATATGTATTCATTACATATAATTGTGCAGATTGCAATATAGGGCAGATGTGGCTGGCAAACAGACAAGCAATTGTGAAAGGACTTCTGGTTTTCCTGGATATAGCCAGACATAATTGAGGGTTCATTTGTATCTGCTCTCATTCCTGGGTTTGCCTGAAATATCCACTGATAATAATTAGCATTTGCTGCTTGTGGCTCTAAAACCTTCCTGAGCATCATTATTCCTCTTTGCAGAGCAATTATAAGCCACAGAACAAGGAAGTGACAAAAGGCAGTATCTGTGAGTCTTACTTTCACTCTGCGACCTATATTGTTATCTCCTTTATTTACTAGGATCCACTAACTTCGTAAACAACTAGGGACATTTCAAATTGCTTCTTTCAAATTGCTATTATAATTATAGTTGATTTTACATGGCAAACTTGCCCAGATAAGGTGTTTACATCCTTATTTTCATCCCCTTTTTTGTTTGCATATAACAAATATTTGTGTTGTATCAATTAACATAGCATGATTTTCATGCAACAGATACTTTAGGGTAACTTGCTAGTCTCTTAAGCATGTTTTGCATTTGATAGCTCAACAGGGCTTTCTGATTGAATAAGGTGATGCAGACACAATGCCTGTGTTGTTGGGGCTTTGAGCTCATCAGTGTTCCCTTGATTCATGTGGGACATATTCTAGAGAAATCCAGCACTGCAGACCAAGACTAAAGCACCATCTTTGCAGAAGTACATACAATACCCCATAAAATAGGAAATAAATAACATAATTTTTAACTTTTCCATGGTATACCTATATGGTATACCTATATGGTATACCTATATATCGATACCCATATGTACAGATTTGGGGTTTTGCCTAATTCTTTTCCTATGAGATGTGCAGTCATTCATTTTCCACTTCACCTGTCTGACTCCCATTTCTCCTAATAAGCTAGGTTTCTCATAGTCCAGAACTCAATAAAAAATTGTCTTAGTTGTACAAGTCCCACTCAGAGGGAGATAACCTGTCAGCATAATGATTTTGCATACTGGTCTATACTGATCCAGGGTCTCCACCATTTTTCTCACTGTAACTTGCATATTGGTATTTTAAGTTCTAGTCAATGCACTGATCACAGTTTAATTTTGGGGGTAGACTTACTTGCTTCACAAACCAACCAATTGGTCTTGCCAAGACCAGCAAATGATAGAATATAGGAAGGTAGTAACCTTTCCATTACAGGTTTGGTGGGATTTTTTTGAATTTGTGTTTCCTCTCTGGCAAAGGCAAATGGCACCAGAAGCTTGATGCCTTTTTTCTCTGAATTAACTGCTATCAGCCATTGGTAATTGTGAGTTAGAGCAGACTTCAGTTCCGTTAAGAAGAAAAAGCTGAATTGTACACTACCCAGTTGGTAATATATATCATCCCTTCCAGTATTCTCACACACTAGATGTAATTTTAGTTGGTGGGGTTTCCTTGGTGTTCTTCAGTTTATATGGCAGTGTCACACCATTCAGTTGCTGGACAGATTAGGTACCTTTATGTGCATAAGGGCATCTTATGATCCACCAAAATTAATAAAGTTGTGTATTGTATTTATGAAAGCATCTAACTTTGTGCAGATAGGAAAAAAACAAGAGACCTCAAGATTATACAGTATCATTCCATAAAGAGCAAAGAGACTGACTTGGCAGAGTTAATTATTATTCAGCTGTCCATGTCATTTTGTTACTAAATGAAGATTCCAGTAGAATGTATGTAGAATATATACTAGCTCTATAGACTTATTTATTTGCACATCATAATTTTATAGCAGTGACACTGAGAAGCCAAAAACTGGATACACAGTTTCCCCATTTTTCTGTCTTATGACTCAGAAAGAGAGCTGTCACCTCTCCCACATTGCCTGGTCCAGTAACCACACTAGAGTTGCACCTCCAAGACAGAGTAACAATAGAAGTGTGGTATTCTACCTATATTTAAAATTCTCTCACAGTCCTTGCTAATGTACAGATTCTTTGCTGTGCTGAATCAGCATCACTGAAACCAATCTCTCCCCTTAATCACTGACAGAAAGCAGTGCCTTTGCAAAGGCAGAGTCAACAAAGAACAGGATTAGGGTAGACTGACAGTAGCTGTATCAACTCCTATATGATGGCTTTAAAATTATCTAAAATCACTAACCTTTCACTTCTGGAGCACGAGGTTCAATTCTGCAGTTAGCCATGCATGAAAATGAGTTCAGCAATCTTGGTTTAGCCTCCACAGAATCATTCATGTAATTTCCCATGACTGACAGATTTTGCTGTGGAGAAAGACTGAATATGAAATAGAAAATAAAAGCAAGGTTCCGTCAGGTTGAAAAATCAAACATCAATGAATCTGAATGTCAGAATCACAGAAAGCAAATTCAGATCTGAAAGACGGGGCCTTCGTGCAAATCCTTGAGTGGACAGAATGAAAAATGGAAAAGGAGGCAAGTTAAGCATCTACTGATGCACCATGGCATCAATGGAGCAGTCACGGAAACGGTTCTGTGAGTAGGATGGTTTCACACTGATGGGCTACTCCTGAACTCTATCCCTCAAAATGCAGGATGTCTTCTTATACACCAGATGAGCTCTCAGCACTGCCCACTTGAGTACAGCAGGCAGTTCTGTGTCTCAAACATACCCTGCATTTTGGAAAGGCCAGCAGCCCTGCCTCACCTGTCTCCTGCAATTCCAGGGTGCTGCTTAGAACCAAAAATTTAACAGTCTGTTTGTGTGACAGTGATGAAGACTGGGAGTCCTTCATGCAGCACACCCTGAACAATAAAGAAACACAAATGTAAACCTAAAAATACACAAGAAAGAGAAAAAAATTAGGAAAGGATAAAAATAAGAGTAAGAGAGATGTGAAGAATGGCAACCCCTCATCTGTCATAATCCTGTTGTCTGTTGCTTTGGGTGACTAACACAAACGTCCCATACAAAATGAACCCAAGTGACAATCACTGAACTACCTCAGTTAGGACAGTGAACAGTCTTTTGACTCAGGCTATACATACAACTTCTCTGTGATTTGCTTTTTCTCCTTATGTATAATTTTTATTTTTCTTTGACAAATACTAAACTTTGCACAGCTAGAATTCTTTGACAGTAACCACACAAAAATGCACTGTCATTTCAAGGTTTAAATGGAATGGGTGAAAGATAGTATCTTTTATCCTGTGACACAAATCAAGACATGTGCCTGCTGCAGAAGTTCTTATACACACTTTCAAGAAGGAACCACAACCTTAACATTTGTTAAAACAACATCTGCCTCGAAAGGACATGGATTCTGACTGGAGCCCCATGCATTTCTGTGGTGTAAATACTGTAAAACTCACCTATACCTTTCACTCACTGCGCTGTCTGAAAATAAAGAGCCAAGGTGAAAAAAAGAGGTTGACTGGTTTAATATAAATATAAGCTCAACTCTTTCTGTAAGATTTAACTGGTTTACTTTAACAAAAAGAGTAACAGACATTAAGAAATGGGATGTCCAAAGCATCCATTGTGTCTGCAACTCTTCAGATTATATTTAACACTCCTCAGTTATCCATTTATTAAAATGTCCTGTTGTTTATTTGGGGAAATCCTCCAAACAAAACTCCAGCAAATTAACAATTTTTGCTACTCAGCAAGGAAATTGCTTCTGTTTCCATCCAAAACCTTGCATGAAATCCTCTTGGTTTCACAACATAATTCTACCTGTTGTATACCACATTTACTGTACAACATCCTCCCTCCTTGCACAGTGGATGTTGAAATCGCTAATAAAGACATTCCAAGCTACGATTTGTTGTAGAAAATTTTTAATGATTTTTTTCCCTCCTCTTGGGTGTGTCAAAGACTTTAGAGTTCGGCTGGTGTTAGTGTATTTTTTCCTCTCTGGGTTCTTTGACAATGTGGTCTGCCACTACCACCAGAAAGGAAGTGTCCTGTCACACTCTTGTGATGGAAAATGAAGACAGTCTTTTAGCCCATTTCTTGTTTTGTCAGTGCTTCACTTTGAGAAGTCCAATTCTACAAAAACAAACAAACAAACCCCAAACCCCACAAACAAACAAATAAACAAATGAAAACAGAGAAAAATAACAGCAGCAAAATTTAATTCAACCATCCTTTGGCTAAATTCAGCCAGCACGTTAGAACCTAATACACCATAGTCTTATTTAAGAACGGGTGGCTGAAAGGTGCTGTAGGATTTATAAAAAGAAAACAGATTGTCTCCGAGGCTGATGCCAAGTAACTCATTGCCTGAGTTATCACTCTTCAATCAAAAAGTATATGAAGAAACTACATAAGTCATTTAGACAGCAATCACCATGGAGTTATGCTGGCCTCTCATGTCAGTGATGAAACAGCCAAGTTCCCTGACAGCGGTGAGTTATTCCTTTTATCACTGACAGAACTGCCTAAAGAATCATCAAGGCTACAGGCGTGGAAAACATGAGGTCTCTTAAAATTTAAGTGATAAAAATACAATGTGTTTTATTACTTTATTTTAATCTTTATAATTTACATTTGGAAAAAAAACCTCCGCAATGCCAACCATAGTTAAGCAAAAAGGAAATTATTACTTTAAACTCAGTATTTAATTCCTGTAAGGAAGCTTTCTTCCAGACCATGATCTTTGTGATTCCATTCCCACCTCCGTCTGCCCCCAGTCTCTCTCATAACTAAAGACATATCTTTCAGCCCTGACAAAGCCAGTGTAAAGTATTGGCTGTTTTATTACAAATTGTAATTCAGTCACTTTGGAGGTGGATTTTCTTTCTGTAGTAATGACTTAGTGTAGGAAGCTGGTAATTTTCTGTTGCACTTTAACATTGCTAGAGAGGTCGCATACTGTAAGTGAGAGAATAGGTGTTTAGAAATATTTCTCTGCCTGACCCAATTGCCTTTAAAATTCCTAAAGGAAGTAAAAATATATTCATTCTCTTGTATAACTTTAAATACTTGTTTCAAAAACCTAGCATGAGCTGAAAAAAAGTAAGTTTTCTGGGCCTGATTTCAACTTGAGCAGAATTTCAGTTAATAATGTAGCACACATAAACCCTCTTTTAACAGTCCATAATATTAAACTGAAGACAGAATTGCTAAAGAACTTTGTTAATTTTTCTGCCTATTAAATCAGTGTTACAGACTTTCAGCAGATGTCTTTAACAGACACTGGTATTAAAAGAAGTATTACATAAAATAAATTCAGACCATTTCCTCAGGATTACTTACTCCCACCATTAAGAGTAGAATTTCTCCTGTATCTTAGAATTATTACATTAATGCCTAATGCAAAGAAACAATAACTCATCTCCAGACACTATAAACCTCTGTCAGGATCCATACTATTCCTATATTTAAAAAAATGCCACCGCTTCCATTTACAGTAACTCCCCATTTCTACAGGTTTAAAAGCTGATCTTAAGAATGTGTTCTACTAGAAGTTTCAGCCATGGCCATTCTATTTTTAAGTTGGGAAAAAAATCCATCTGCTTTTTAAACTCTTGGGTGCCAAAGAGCTTTTGTAGTGTCAGGTATTTTTCTGAGCAATGTATCAGCTAAGAAATGTACCTTTGCATTTTTGACCGTCTGATATTTTTGACCGATGATATTAAATATAATAATTTTTTCATGGCAAAAACTCCACCACAGATGATGTCTCTGGGTCAAATTGCCTATAACACTACATGCCTGAGATAAGTACCTAAGTCACACTTATGCTCCTGCCATAGAATAAGTTGTTGCTCTGATGTGAGCATACAGTTCTCTGCCTCCAACAACAAGGCTATCTATTTACTCACCTATATAAACACAGATTTATGAGCCACAGATCTCTGTTTCCCTCCCATTTGTACAGGTAACCTGACAATATATAATCTGCAAGAGTTTTCCTAGGTCTTGACCAATTCTTGTCTTCATATTGATATTAGCCCTCTCTCTCTCCAGATGGCTTTCCACAGAAACCTAATGCACGATGAGATGAGAACAGCAACAAGTTCTTGGTCTGGGTAAGTAGGAGACAGGATCAAGGACAACCTTAAGAAACATCTGAGAGACACAATTGGCTTTGCAGTTAGAATTCTCCTGAGAATTTCAGTTGAAGGCTGTGAAGTTATTCATACCTTTAATGTATGTAGAAAGACGTATATTTGAACCAAGGAAATTAGAGTTTGGTCCATCAGCAGTACATAGTACTCTTTCTTAAATATCTATTGGAAGAGTGAGAGAAAGAAAGAAGTAATAAATAGCATAATAGTTAGGCACTAGTTTGGTTAAATCTACCTCCCCATCACAGACCTCTAAATGCTCAACTCATGCCTCTACACCTTTCTCAACAAGAGACCTGTTTGGCTTTCAAATAGGTGAGTGCATCTGAGAAGCCTGTTCAAAGCACTCCCAGTTTTAATATCCTCTGGTGGTAAAGAAGCCATAGTAACCTTGAGCTGTCTCCCAGACTCAAGCTAGCTGTACCTGCCTAGCTACATGTTAAGATCCACACATAGCACAGACATTGTTTGAAAGAACTGCTAATGTCATTAGGCAACCCCTAATTAATCAGACACTTTGTGACTGAAGATAACTCACCTAGATGGCCCCAAGAAGGGTCTACATCTGAGAAACAGAATGAAAGGAATAATAATAAAAAAAACCCTACCCAAGTCACAGTTCTGCTGTACACCTAAATCTAATCTGGCACACCACACTTTTCTCCATGCACCTTGGCTGCTTCCTCTGTTACAAATAGTTGCCTGAAAGGATCAAAACTGAAAAAGATCCAACCACTGACCAGGGAGTTGATGACTGACATCTGAGAATAGCTCTGACTAAGCTGTTGCTGCTTTTCTGTCAAGAGTGGGATCACTTTTCCCCCCTCTACACATTTCATAGCTATATGGTCTGTTGATATTTAGGATTCACTGGTCACTTCCACTACAAATTTTCTTTTCCTGAGATTTATAACCAAAGCTTTTGTTACAAAGTCCAGTGCCAGACAAAATTTGCCTCATTTTGGGTTTCATTGCAGAACTGGCACTATAAGCCACATTCACAGAATTTTTTGCAATTCTTTTGGCAATCTTGAGGCAATTACTAGGTGATGTTAAAACAATACATAGCTTAAGGTCAAGAGCCAGCAAAAATTCTCAACTACAAATTGGTTTGCTTGTTTAAAAATCAAACAATAAGGAATCCTCTGCATTCAAAGCAGAATCAGCATTGAGTGGAGGGTTGAATTCAATGATTGAAACCAAAGCAAATGTTTGTGTGAATCCCAGTGAGAATCAAAATAGCTGCATTTTACACTGCTCTAATTATAACTCTATAATTTTAAATGGTAAGACCAAAAATAGTCATTGCAATATGTCATCTCAATGTAATTTTTCTTTCCAAAAGACATAAATCAGCTTAATTTTTTTTGGTAGAGAGTAGTCAAATAAATAATAAATAGTTTTCCAGATAGTTTTAGAGGTTTTTTGTTCCTAAAGTTTTATTCCTTTGTGGCAGGAGTTCCTGGCATCTGAATATGGTCTTTCCCTCATCTGACTTCATTTAGGATCTACATCTACCAAGGGACTTTCTGAAATATGTAATGGTTTAACAAGGCAGCTAGTTCAAGTGGGGGATAATTAAGCTTTCACCCTCCCCTTCACCCTGTGCCACTGGTTTTTTTCCCTCCCCATCTCCATCGTACCCTTAAAAGCCACAGCTCTGCAGCCAAGCACTGCACACTCCCCACAGCCAGCGACTACCTCCAAAACTGCAGTGTGTAATTACAACCAGCTGCTAAGGGCTGCTGAGAACAGGGCAAGCAGCACCTTCCTGCCCAGACATAACCCCCAGGCTTTGGGAGCCCCCAGGATCTGGCAACCCCCAGGCTTTGCTGTGTGAACAACCACAAGGAGATTCCTGCACTCTGGCAGTAAGGGTTTAGAAGAGAGCAACGCTCCACTTTGCTTCCAGAAGTACTAAAGGGACTGGGTATTTCAGCCTCCCTCCTCCTCCTCTGTTTCACCTAAATCCATCTGCTTAAAGAGAAGAAAACCTCCTTCCCTGGCCCCTGCTGTTGCACCAATGACCCACTCCTGTGAAGCTGTGGGGCTGACTGGTTCTCTCCCTGACTGACAGCCCACACTGCACACCCTGCGGTGGAGCTGTGCATCCCACAGTGACAGCAAACAGAGATTAAAGCTCTCTTTGAGTGGTATGTGCTGGATACTGCGGGCTTCACCTGTACTGCAAGATTCTTACCTTTTAAAATGTGAAAGTCTCACTGACAGTCATCAGAGCTCATGGTAAACTGGTGTCCTGAGGTGTGTTGAGACTCAGGGACAAAAAAAAGTGGTGAAGCAGCAGAAGGGGCCATATAGGCACATGCAGCTGGAGTGGGTACTTCTTTGTTCTGCCTTTTCAATTTCTGATAACCTTCTGAAACTTAATTCCTTATTAGTATTCCTTAAGATTAATGCAAATTTCCGTTTGTCCCCCTTCAAGGATGGACATACACCTCAAAATTCTAACCTTGACCGAGCAAGTGCAAGCTCAGCTTTCTCATTTTAGGTAATTTGTGTTTCCCGGTGACTTAGCTATAGGATTTGCTAAAGGAAATTTCTTAGGCTTCTAATTATGAACAAACTTAATAGACCAATAAAAAAGTTTGGGCTCAATCCATCTAACATTTTAAAGCACTAAGAATTGAGTGTGCAGACCCAAAGGACACTGTCATGTAATTACATGTTAGTAAATCTGTTAGTGCCAGTTTCATCCTTTTCCAATTGAATCACAGAATAGTTAAGGTTAGGAGGTATGTCTGGACACTATCAACTCCAAACCCTCTGCTCCAAGCCAGTGGTTCACAGGTGTGTTGAGTTTTGACCATCTCCAAGGACAGAGTCTCTGCAACCTTCCTGGGCAACCTGTGCCGGTGCTTGGTAATTAAGAGACGATCTTTAATTTCTATCTGTACATCTTTGAAAAATAATAACCATAACAACAGCATTTTTACAATTTTCCTCCAGAGAAAAATTGCAGTTTCACGCATGTTAACCACGAAGAAATCACTCTCATAAAGGGCAATCTCAAGAAAATGAACTTAAGGTGGAAGTGCAACAAATATTGCAAAAATCCTTATTATAGCCTACAGCCTGAAGTAAAAGTGGTATAAGACTGCAAGGTTAGGCAGGGATAGCTGCTCTGATTAAGGGACAAAGCATTAGGAAATAACAAGCATGTTAGAGATGTCAATACCAAAGAGTGACTGGAATTACTTAGAATGGTTCAAGGTAATAAATCTTCAGCAAATGGAATGTACTTAAGAAAGGAGAAATTTAGGTCAAATCTCAGGAAAAGATTTCTAATGGTAAAGTACAGAAAGTCACGGAATATTTGCCTGAAGGAAGAGACACATGGCATATCCCTGGAGACTTTTAAAGCTCCACTGGAAAAAGCACTAAAGTATTTGGTACACAATAATCCTTCAACAGGAAGGAGAAAGGCTAGATGATATAACTGGGCTTTTCCATCTCTGCTTTCTGTGATTCAGTGGTAATTCCACTGGCCAGTTCTGGTTTTAAACACAAAAATCCAGCATCCAACTGTAATTATCCTGTGGTGAAAGCAAATGTCCGAGAAGAACTTATCTCTTCACCCAAGCACAGAATGCTCTTCAGAAATTATTTAAGTTTTTAAGGTTTTAAGTTACTTTTATTTGAAAATGTCTACATTATGATGAGAAGAAAACACATTAAAAATGGGAACAGTCATTGTGTTTGCATTTACAGCAGGGATCAGATGTGTTGAGCCTGGGTACTAGCATGGAAATTTCCAAATTTTGAATGGAAATTATACAGATACTGTTTAATTGAAGTGGATTCTGTAGGTACTGTTAAAATGTTGCTCAGCATGAGGAAGAGTGATAGATCTGAGGTTCTGTGAACTTTCAAAGGCAGGCTTACACCTTTCTAACTTGCTTTTTTTTGAGCTGTTGCTGAAGGATAAAGAGAAAAAAAAAAAGGGGGGGGGGAGATTTTTACACAGAGTCCTCTGAAAATCTTACTCTTTTCACTTAAAATAACCAGTAACTGGTCTTGATGTCAGGTTTGGAAAGATCTGCAGCTGTCTGCATTCTGCAACCCACAAAGACAAACACACGCTGTTCTCCGAAAGCTCCTGTTCTATCACAGTCGATCACAGGTGATTAGCAAGGACTGGGCCAGCAGTCCCGCTAAACTTTGTGGAAGAGATGAATTACATAAATGGTACTCAAGGAGAGCAAGCGTTGTAGAACTGGATGACAAAAAGCGTGCACAGAATGCACCGGCATTTGCCATTTCGGTTTGTACGAGGAGCGTGCTTTTGAAGAGATTTCTCCTGATTGTTTCATCCCGGCTGATCCATACCGTGGAGCACTCTGAAGCTGGATTAGTTTCAAACGAAGCTAAACTGGAAGATGTGTTCCAGCCATTACTGGACCGCTTCAGAGCAGAGCTACCACAAAGCAAAGCATCCTGAAAAGCATATAGCATAGGCACCAGCGAGACTCACTGCACAGATCCACTCCCACTGTATCCCACTACTTCCTAACGCAGATGTAACCACAACCCCCGTGGCAGCCCCCTTCCCAAAACTGATGATCTGACTAACGAGGCTGTTAGGAAATTAACGGAGAACTGAAGCAACACCAGGGACACCGGAAGGAAATCTGGCTCATCGGTGACTTCTTATTTCCGATCTCCTTCCTAAGCCTCGTTCTTTTGGTTATCTCAGCGCTTTCACTGAGTGAAGGGCAACTCCTGCGGGGCGGGCGCGCCCCCACAGCACACCATCCCACGCCCGGGGTAGGAGCACTGTCGTCCCAGCCTTCCCGCCCTCCCATCAGCATCAGGCCCGTCCCGCACCCACACCCGCTCCAACGCGGCTCCGTGACTCGCTCCGCTCCCACCCGCCGGCGCTCGGAGCGGCCGCGGGGAGCGCACGGCGGAGCGGGAAGGGACGAGCCCTGCGGTCCAAGCTGCGGTGCTCCCGCTGGAAAGGCTCCCCCCCTGGAAAGGCTCCCCCAGGGCCGGCCGAGCGCCGCCGGGTTCCCGCAGCGGGCATCCCTCCCCGAGCCGCACCCGCCCCGCCGCCCACGGAGCCACCACCCCCGTCCCTGCCCGGCCCGGAATGCCCTTTAACCAGCCGGCACAGCGCCTAACCCCGGCACCCAGGGAAACGGAACAGGGGGAACACCCGCCGGGAGCCGCAGGGAAGCTGCGGGCTGGATCTTGCCGGAGCGGGGCGCGGCTCCTCCACAGCTCCTCTCGCACCGGAGAGCGAGTGCCGGGCGGGGCCGTCCCCGCAGGGCTGCAGGGGGAGGGCGGGACCCACCGCCCCGTCGCCTCCCAGAGGCTCTCCCGTCGCTTCGCAAAGCCCGGGAACCGCCGTGGAGCTGCAGACGCCGCCACCCAGGGGCCGGCGGCGGCACCGCTCCCGGCCGGGACAGGGGAAGCGTCTGCGGAGCCGCCGCACGGAAGGACCGGGACGAAGAGGAGTGGGGAACGGCACAGATCCAGCGAACCCACTGAAACTGGTGCGGCAAGGCGGGACACGGCACACCGCATACGATTAGGAAGATTTAGCTGTCGTTTGAGCAAAATTGCATCAAAACATTTTTAAGAGCAGAAATGCAAATGATGAAGTAGAAAATAAAGTAAAATGCGACATCTGTTTATCACCTGCCAGGTGCTGCAGGTTATCCTTGTCTCTGTTTTGTTTTGGGTTTTTTTTAGGGGGTTGTCTTTTTTGCAGCTGCCTGCACCCAGGAAAACAGGAGTCAAACATGGAATCAAACATGGAGTCAAACATGGAATGCTGCCGAAGGTGACCCTGTCACTGACAGCAATTGTCACACAGAAGGTGATCGAAACTCCTTGGCTTTCTTGCGAAAGAAAGAAGGGACAGGGGCTGTGCTCTGCAGGGGGATCGACACCGCAGAGAACGTTCTGCTGTGAGGACAAGTGAATACAGTCAAACTAGATCAAATATTGCACCACCCTCAGGTGCTGGCTAACATCCTGGAATGATCTTCCACTCAACATGGTGTGGGCAAAAAAACCACCAAAACTTATATTTGAAGAATTTATAGAAGTAGTTACTTTGTGGCAATGTCTGCAGTAATAAGGGCTTGGATGGCCTCTCTGGTTTAAGTTCCTCTTCATTCAGTCTAGAAAGGACGAGACAGCAGGATTCTAAACAGCAAACCAGGTGTCTTGTGAGTCCTCCCCACTGATGAAGAGGCACAAAGCAAAAATAAGATGGGGAGAGCCCCCCTGCTCCCAGCTGTGATGACTGCATGGTGGGCACACGGCGGCCAGGCTGGGTGGGTAGGGTAGGCTTGCTGCAGAAAAACAGGCCTCCAACGCAGGACAAGCAAAATGAATCAGCAGTGTCACTCGGCGGGGGGGGAGAAAGCAAACATCGTATGTGGTGTGCAACACGAAATCACTCTGAGAGACGGGTGAAGTAATCCTTCTGCTTTATTTAGTATTATTAAGGCATCATCCATGTGATCATAGGGTTAGAAAACATGACCTTCAATGAAAGATCAGAAGAGCTGCAATTGTTTTATCTCCAGACAGGAAGACTGAGGAGGAGTATGGTCACAGTCTTCAAAGGAAAGGAGTAATTTGTTCTCTATGCCCATTGTGAACAAGAAGTAATAGATTTCACAGCAAACTTTTTTAGTGATAAGCACCGGGAGACATTGAAACATATTGCCTGGAGAGGCTGTGGTGTATTTGTCACAAGAGAATAAGTTAAACAAACATATTTCAAGACTGATATAATAAGAGCAGAACTCCTGATGGGGATGAAGGTTACAACTGCCAGAGATCCCTTCCCTTTTTGCTATTATTTTATCAGAGAAAAAAATCTGTTTGAAACACAATTAGGATTCAAAAAAAGGGGGATAATATTCCTATTTTTTTAGCTAGCTTACTGAATGAATTGAGGAAAAAAAAATTCTGTATCTCAGCTCCCTTATCAGTTGAACTGAAGTAGTAATATACAATTTATGATACATGTATTTTGACAGAACATTCAAGTTGAGAAATACCTCTAGATTAAAAAACCACAAATCCTAACCATTACACTTCATACTACTACAAGTTTCTTTTATTGTGTATATTTCTAATACAGAAACACTGATCCTTTCTGCTCACTTAGGCATGTTGAAACATCTACTAAGAAAAATTTACTTCCCCAAAATAATTAGGGAATACATACAGCCAATAATAACAGTGCATGTTTAGAAGACCTGTCCAACTCCAGAAGAGCTGAAGTACCTCATTATTACTTCCCTTCCAAAATGCAACAACAGGACTAGATTCACTAGAAATTTAAAACATTCTTTGTTTTTGATAAGTTTAAAGAAAAACAATTCAGGTGAATAAGGCATTCTTTATAGTCCAGAGAGATAACCGCAGTTCAGATCCACTAAAACGTTGATTCCAAATTAAAATAATTTTTATATGACTAATTCAGATGCTTCTTTCTAATCATCTTATTACAGACACTTCCTTTTTGCAGATTTCTTGCAACAATATTCAAAATAACCTGTGCCTCTTCTTGCCACGCCAGTGTCCTGCTCTCCTGTCAACTTGACAGCCATTCCACTCAGTAACCAATCCAGACTCTGAGAGCCAAATGAAAAAATGTTGGGAAGCCCTCCTTGATCCTCAGCAGAAACTTAATGCTGACTCCTGTTGTTTGCACCACAAACCAGCATTTTCATGTCCAGTTCTGACATATGTTTTCCCTGAGCTCTCAGATAAATGTATCAGTTACTAAGGTGACTGGCATTATTAACACAAACCTTGTTCCTTGTGTGTGCATCTGCATTTAAATGTTCAAGAACGCAATCCTGGAAAAGTAATTTGAAAAATATTTTCCTTTTAGCATACCAGCTGCTGAGATGATTAAGTTACTAATATTTTGTAAGTTCTCCAGCTCTCTAGAGACCTCTTACATTTGGTATTATTTGTAGAAGCCCAAAATACCTAATTCCCTTCAAGTTTAAGTAAAAACTCA